AATAAATGTGGATAGTGTCCACATGTGGACACAGATGATGTCCCCGCTTGCATATCATATAGTTATAAAGGGAAATAACTGAAGAACGGTAAAAGTGACGCTACCCAAATTTGAACTTGATCTGAGTTTTTTGGTAATAAGCATTGTGTGTAAGTCTCATAACATTTGGTTGAGGCTAACTTAAGTAGAGAACAGAAACTAAAAATTCAGAAATTTTTCTATTTGTAAACACGCATAACTCTAGAACGGTTGTGTATAGGTTTTATAACAATTGGTTGAGACAAACTACATTGTAAAGTTAGAGAACGGAAACGAAAAATTCAGCATTTTTTTTTTATAAAGGGACATAACTCAAGAATGGTAAAAGTGTCACCACCAAATTTCGTACTTAATCTGTAGTATGTAGTAATAAGCATTGTGTATAAGTTTCATAACATTTGGTTCAGGCAAACTAAAGGTATAAAACGGAAACAAAAAATTGGTACTTGATCTTAGTTTGTGGTAATGAATAGTTTCATAATTGTTTGGTTGGGGCAAACTAAAGTTACAGAATGGAAACAAAAAAATTAGCAATTTTTCCATTTATAAAGGGACATAACTCTAGAACGGTTAAAGTGACTCCACCAAAATTCAAACTTGATCTGTGTTTTGTGTTAATAAGCATTGTGTATAAGGTTCATAACATTTGGTTGAGGCAAACTTAAGTTAGAGAAAGGAAACTAAAATTTGGCAATTTTTCCATTTATAAAGGGGCATAACTCTAGAATAGTTAAAGTGACCCACCAAAATTCAAACTAGATCTGTGTTTTGTGGTAATAAGCATTGTGCATAACATTTGGTTGAGGCAAACTCAAGTTAGAGAACGGAAACCAATTTTGGGACGTACAGACGGACAAGGGGTAAAACTTAATGTCCCCACCGCTACGGCGGGGGCATAAAAAAAAAAAAAAGGAAACAAAAATCTCCCCCCCCCCCCCAATTTTTTGAACCCCCTAATGATTCATTACCCCCAAACTCAATCCCGGCCTTCCCTTTGTGGAATGATACCTTGCAGTACAATTTCAGAGAGATCCATACACTTGAACACAAGTTATTGTCTGGAAACTGTAAAAATGCTTGTTTTTTGGCCCCTTATTCTAAACGTTTAGGGCAATTACCCCCAAACTCAATTCCAGCTTTCCCTTTGTGATATCGAACCATGTAGTACAATTTCAGAACGATCCATACACTTACACACCAGTTATTGTCATGAAACTAGAAAAATGCTTTTTTTTGCCCCTTTTTTTTGCCCCTAATTCCTAAAATTTTGAGGCAAATACCCCCTAACTCAATCCCAGCATTCCCTTTGTGGTATGGTACCTTGCAGTACAATTTCAGAGAGATCCATACACTTGAACACAAGTTATTGTCTGGAAACTAGAAAAATGCTTATTTTTGGCCCCTTATTCTAAACGTTTTGGGCAATTACCCCCAAACTCAATTCCAGCTTTCCCTTTGTGATATCGAACCTTGTAGTACAATTTCAGAAAGATCCATACACTTACACACAAGTTATTGTCATGAAACTAGAAAAATGCTTTTTTTTTTGCCCCTTTTTTTGCCCCTAATTCCTAAAATTTTGAGGAAATTACCACCAAAATCAATCCCAGCATTCCATTTGTGATATGGAACCTTGTGGTACAATGTCAGAGAGATTCATACACTAACACACAAGTTATTGTCTGGAAGTTCCAAAATTGCTTATTTTTGGCCCCTAATTCCTCAACTGTTGGTGCCACAACATCCAAAATCCATCCCAACCTTCCTTTTGTGGTATTGAACCTTATGGTAAAATTTCATAGAGATCCATTCACTTAAACTTAAGTTATTGTCCGGAAAATAAAAATGCATCTTTGGACGACACAGACCACGACATGATAGCATTATACGACGCAAAATATTTTTTGCGGTCGTATAAAAACTTCATTTTACCACTATGTTCTATTTGTAGCCATGGCGGCCATGTTATTTGACGAAACAGTAAATAGAAAACAAACTTTATTCTAGATACCCTAAGCATCATTCAGCTCAAGTTTGGTTGGAATTGGTTCAGTAGTTTCAGAGGAGATGTTTGAAATAGTTTACACCAGACGGACGCCAAGTGATGGCAAAAGCTCACAGTTCCTTCGGAAGGGTGAGCTAAAAACTAAGAGGCTCTAAAGAGCCTGTATCCCTCACCTTGGTCTATGTGCATATTCAACAAAGGACACTCTCCAACATTGTAGACGAGAACAGAATTCATGACAAAAATCTCTATTTTGTTGATCTTGTATTGCTGATCATTTTAAAATAGTCTGTTTAGTTTCTATCTTTTTTGCTCAAAACACAAGAAGGTAAAAAAAAACCTCATTTAAGGACAATCACTCCTTTAAAGAGTGAAAGTCTACTAACTATATTGGCAAAATTGACTTGATAGTAGATCTTGCCTTGCTGATCATTTTTGTGATTTAAAGTGTCTATCGGTACTGATATATTATAATTTTTATCATATAAGGCAAAATTAAAAAAGGGTAAAAATCGTCATTAAATGGCAACAACTCCAATAAGGAGTTGTTTGACGGTTTCCTCCATATTGTCTTGATTGTAGATCTTGTCTTGCTGAATATTTTTGCTTATTTAAGTTTGTATCTATCTATTATAATTTTTAAGATACAAGGCAAAAATGCAAACTAGAGGCTCTAAGGAGCCTGTGTCGCTCACCTTGGTCTATGTGCATATTAAACAAAGGACACAGATGGATTCATGACAAAATTGTGTTTTGGTGATGGTGATGTGTTTGTAGATCTTACTTTACTGAACATTCTTGCTGCTTACAATTATCTCTATCTATAATGAACTTGGCCCAGTAGTTACAGTGGAAAATATTTTGTAAAAATTTACAAAAATTTATGAAAATTGTAAAAAATTGACTATAAAGGGCAATAACTCCTTAAGGGGTCAATTGACAATTTTGGTCATGTTGACTTATTTGTAGATCTTACTTTGCTGAACATTATTGCTGTTTACAGTTTATCTCTATCTATAATAATATTCAAGATAACCAAAAGCTGCAAAATTTTCTTAAAATTACCAATTCAGGGGCAGCAACCCAACAACGTGTTGCCTGATTGGTCTGAAAATTTCAGGGCAGATAGATCTTGACCTTATGGACAATTTTATCCTGTCAGATTTGCTGTAATTGATTTGGTTTCAGACATAGGAGCCAAAAACTGCATTTTTCCCTATGTACTATTTTTTAGCCATGTCGGCCATCTTGGTTCGCGGGCGGGGTCATCAGACACATTTTTAAACTAGATACCCTAATGATGATTGTGGACAAGTTTGGTTAAATTTGTCTTAGTAGTTTCAGAGGAGAAGATTTTTGTAAAAGACTATAAAGGGCAATAACTCCTTAAGGGGTCAACTGACCATAATGGTAAAGTTGACTTATTTGTAGATCTTACTTTGCTGAACATTATTGCTATTTACAGTTTATCTCTATCTATATTAATATTCAAGATAACAAAAAACGGCAAAATTTCCTTAAAATTACTAATTCAGGGGCAGCAACTCAACAACGGGTTGTCAGATTCATCTAAACAATTTTACCCCCTGTCAGATTTGCTCTAAATGCTTTGGTTTCAGAGATATAAGCCAAAATCTACATTTTACCCCTATGTTCTATTTTTAGCCATGGCGGCCATCTTGGTTGGTTAGCCGGGTCACCGGACACATTTTTTAAACTAGATACCCTAATGATGATTGTGGCCAAGTTTGGTCAAATTTAGCCCAGTAGTTTCAGAGGAGAAGAATTTTGTAAAAGTTTACGGACGACGGACGCCAAGTGATGAGAAAAGCTCACTTGGCCCTTTGGGCCAGGTGAGCTAAAAATTGGTAAAAATCATCATCAAAGAGCAACAACTCTAATAAGGGGTCAACTGACCATTTCCACTGTTTAGACTTATTTGTAGAACTGGTTTTGCTGATCATTTTTGCTATTTAAAGTTTCTCTCCATCTTTTAAAATTTTCAAGATAACAGGCAAAAAAAAAAAAAAAGGTAAAATTTGTCATTTAAGGGCAACAACTCCTGTAAGAAGTCACCTGATAGTTTTGATGAATAATTCTGCCCTTGTCAGATTTTCTCTATAACGGTTTTCCAAATAATAGACTTGCATAATATACCCTGTGTTCTATTTTTAGCTATGTCGGCCATCTTTGTTGCCAGGCGGGGTCATCGGACACATCTTTTAAACTAAATACCCCAATGATGATTGTGACCAAGTTTGGTTAAATTTGGCCCAGTAGTTTCAGAGGAAAAGATTTTTGTAAAAGTTAACAGATGATGACGAGGGATGACAAGTGATGAGAAAAGCTCACATGGTCCTATGGGCCATTAAATAGAGTCCAGTTAAGTCTGACTTCTTGTTGAGGAGATCTAGCTGTCAACATGTTTGTCCATACGGTCATCCCCATTCTTCATCCTAAACTTCAATGAGGAAATAAATACCATTAAACAACATTTTAACAACAATGGTGTAAAGTAAAATCTAAATCCTGGATCAGGTTGTTTTAAGGAGGCAAGATAAACATACTACATAAGAAGTATCAAAAGTTTTATTGATTATTAATTGTCCCATTATTTGTTAAACAGATTAAAGTATCCTGCTTCCTTCCGTTCTATCAAAAATAAATTACAAAATAGAGGCTCCATCACAGGGTTGTGTCATTTCTATGTGAGAGAGAGAGAGATTTCTATACTACCTTTGGCTTAGTGGGTCCTAACAAACAAACACAGACATTATATATTTTGATTGTTCACATGAAATACACATATCATAATGACTAGCTTTAATATTAACTGATTTATTGTTGTTTGAACAACTTTTGTTTTACATAAAACACCTGTAGTGATAATTTCAAATAGAGATTTTTTAGAAATATTCAACGTTTCAATTTTGCTTTGTCTTTTTACATAAATGAGGTGGGAGGCTTATTATTTCTTCTTTATAATTCACATTGGAATACTGGAACTTGTCTTCAGTTAAAAAGACCTGTTCTACAATTTATTTCTGACAGAAACAGAAATTGACTGTTGCCAAAGTACTAACAAATGTCATCAACAATTATAATGAAAAACAAGTTACATTATATCAAATGATTCTTTTGTGCAAAATAAAAACAAAAAACAAACATTCAAATTCATTAAATGTATCAGCAAAGATTAGCATGTATAGAAAACATTTTACAAAAGAGAGGGAGGGACATTTTTTTCTTTGTTCTGCATTTTATAGTTTAATTATACTTTTGATATTTGTAAATTGGCATTTATACAAAAATTTGTAGAAAATCTTGTGTATTTCCTTCACTGTTTTTGTCTGTTTTTATCTATTATTGTTCATGGCAATCTCATCATTTGACAAATATTCCCTTGTGCGGACGTATTCCTGTTCATACCAGATATGTCTTAAACTGATAATCCTATCTTCAACATACATATAAAAATGACTGTACAGGAAAAACAATATTTAAATAACAAACATTAATTAATTCAATGTTCAAGTCTTAATTTTCCTTTTAACACAGTTTCACAAACAATTTAAACGAAATAAATTTTATTCATCACGATTTAAAGTTCTCTGGGTCAAACTCCTTGCCAACAAACTGACACAAATGTTTCACAACACAAACTCGGCTAACTGAAGCAGGATAAACGAAAGCTGATATTTCTTGATGTACTTTAAAGGAAGTGGCATTTCCATGGCAACAGTCAATGAGTGCACCAATTTGAATAACTGCACTGCCACTTGTTAGTGACACAAAGTTTGTTCATTAAGCAGTAAAGTTATGATTCATAAAGAGCTATGTTTGAAAGTTTTATACACAATGCAGTCAATACAGTTCCTAAATTGTTTTCAGTTTAGCTTCAATATCTGCCTCGTCTAAATCACCCAGGTCATTTGCTTGCACTTCTATTTTTATAGCCTGTAATTTCTTTTTTACAGCGTCTTTACTGGATGCATATATCATCTTTTCTTTCATTGGAGCTTCATCTGGACTCCTGAAAACAAAGTAATAAGTTTAAATTAAAAACATCATTTACATTGTATACATGTATAGATTCTGTAAAATAATAATCACTGAACAAAATCATAAAAAAGGTTCAGCTTGAATCCTTAGAATAAGATAATCTATTACACTGAACATGCAAGTTAATATTATACAATTTGGTAAGGTTGATACTTATCAATTATGGACTTTTGACAAAGTCAAGACTTTATATATCGACCTGTTCAGATTATATTGACAGAGGAAGGAGTTCCAAGTGTCAATATAATCTAACAGTTCCATATATAACGTATTGACAGAGTGAAAGTCCTTAATTTATACATAACCTGCAAGGTTGGGCGGTAAATACCGCCCCTGGTTTTCAAGGCTATACTCCTCAAGTGGTCAATACTGGCAAATACTGGTCGATTGAAATTTTCATGGTGGTTTTTACTATTTATTGAAGTAAAAAAATGATAAAAAGTAAGATATATTTAAACTTTTATCTTTTGGCATGTTTCAGCTGATATAAATGAATAAATGTGATGTGTTTTTTTTTCATTTGTAACACTTATACCTACTAGTTTAGTCCTTATAAGTTATGATATTGCATATTTTAGATATATATAAAGAATTGACAAATTAATTATTACAACATTTTTCAATCAAGATATTTTTTATTGAAAAAGCATAATTTTTATAGGTACATAAAACTACAGGTAAATGAAGTTACAGGTGTCTTATTACCTATCGCCTGGCATTGCTAGGTCTGAACATTTAATTACTATAAAAACAACAGCCCCTAATAAATGATGACAAAACATGGTTGAAAGTAATAAAAGTGATATTTGAAGACTCACTTAAGCAATAAAATATTTCCTGTCTATTAAATGTCAGACAAAAGTCATCTTTATGCTGGAAATGGAAGGTATGAAGGACCTTTACTCTTATGGCTGAACTGTAATTTATGTTTTAAACCAAAAAATATATAATGTAGTATAAATTTTACCTTTACATAATCAATATTTACATGATTTACATACACACAGTACAACCACCTTGACCTTAAGCACCAAACTGAAACCTGAAGACCCTATTTGGAACTTCTGTACAATATAAGACAACAACAAAACCCGTGCAAAATGTAATGATTGCAATGCTATACTCATGATACTCAGTGCAAAAACCACCTGATGAGTTTCCTTGCCAGGGACGAAACATTTTTTATCTTATGTACTAATAAATCATTGTAAATCACTGTTTGTTAAGAATTTATAATAAAAATAGAAATAAGAACATTTAAAATGACTTTAACAGTCTTCATGATAAACTTTAAAGTCTACAGGCCAGAGGATGAATTTTGTGAACATTTTAGTTAGTTTCTATTGGCTTGTATAGATGATTTTTACAGGTCTGACAGCACTTTTACAGGCCTGGGCTGGTGGGCCTGTTGTTGAGTGCGAAGACTGCAGTTTAACATTTCATTATTTCATTACTAAATGTAATTGACCCGGTAGAGAGTGGTTTTTATAGTAATGTCCACTCAAAATTTCAATCAACCAGTATTTGCCAGTATTTACCGCCGGCATGGTCAATACCAACCTTGATGACCTGTTTGTGAAAGGTGTATTCTGGAAATAAACCAACGTTCTTTCTGTGTATTTTATGTTGTATTTTGCAAGATTTTTAATATCAACTGTCATGAGTCGTTTTCCATAAATTTTACTTTTTTTTCTGGATACTTCATCAGTTGATATATAATGTGACCGTTTTGTGCATATTCAAATATATTTAGCTATGTGGAAAGACTTGTATAGTAGCAAGTTATAAAAATACAAATTATTCAGTCTCTATAAAAAATAAACTGTTGACACAGAATATGTCTCGGTTGTCGGCATAAAATTCAGAAAAAGGCAATCTGATGGACAGCAACATTGCTTAATTTATTAATTCGCTGGACCATGATTTAGTGGCCAGGGCCTCGAAATGGTTGATGAACTGAGATGTACAGACAGTAATGTAACTTAATAGAACATATCTTTGACTAGTAGTCTAGTATTGTAAGTAGTTCTTATCAATCTAACTTGAGCAGAAAACTTAATATTGACCCTGATCTAGGGGCAGGGCCTCAAATAATCATCAATCTGATATGAACTAATAGTAATGCAACTTCATACAAAATATTATTGATCTTTCTCAAGTAGATCCTTTCAAATCAGGGTTGGCAAAAACCTGGGTTTTATGAGAATTGCCCAGCCCAGTGGGAAATACTGGTAATATGAAATACTGGCCTGAATTTTAAAGAGGATTTATAATTAGTGATTAATCACAAATGCAATACATTAAAAATGATTATAAAATAAAGACATAGTATTTTAATTTATAAGTTCTTTTGGATTATTCAAACAAAGCTTGGAAATTAACGAGGTATCCTAAAATGTGCAAAACATGTATTCTGCCTACATAAAATGAGTGTAGAAAAGGAAAAACCTAATTTTCAATCTTCTAGAAATGACTCTCAATGGTTATCTGTATAAAATGTATATTTTATACTTATTGACTGGGTATGAGAGGAATAGTAAGTTTATCATGTTTATTGTACCAGAGGTGAAACTATTGCCCTAAGGCATAGCCGGAAGAACGCGAAATAAAATCGGTACGTCTAAACACCGCTCAGGACCTCCTGAGTGCACTCAGGACATACAAAGTGCACTCAGGACATGAAATATATGTTTTAGTGAGTGGTGAAGATATGCATTCGATAGATAATTTAATTCTTCATCTAATAATTTTTGTTTTGATAAAATCATTCTAACATTTAAGGAGTTATTGAAGTTTTCATCGGCACGCGCCGTTTTTGTGAAATATGTCAGGCATGACCGAGGATTATATTGAATGCCAATTATCATGTTGATTAGGTCGTTTGATCTTTAATAATTAGGAGTGATTAGTGATGGTGCTAACCTCATACAAGTAAGCTTGGCAAACAAATAAAATCAAGATTTTTTTGAAAAATAAAGAACAATAAAGATATATTGTTTTAGAAAAAAAAACCTTTAAATAAACATTTTTCTTTTTGTTTGTAATAATTGAAGCCAGTCGAGAAATATGAGAAATTTACATATATAGTTGGGAAATTTTCATTCAATTCATTTCATTTCATTAACTTAATAGATATTAAAAATATCGTTATTATTTTCTTTGTGTAGATTTTCGTATTTTATTAAAGTTTCGTGCAATAAAAAGTTTAGTTTTATTTTTATTTTAAAAGTTAAGAAGAATAATTCTTTCGTATTTTCATATCTCTACATATATTACAATAGACTTTAATTGCATTGTTCCATGGTAAAAAAAAAAATCGGTGAACACCATTTATAATTTACTTTCAAGCTAACAGTTAATCTGATCACTCACTAAAAATAGCGTTGAATTAAAAACAAATATTGGTATCATTGCGTTCTAATTCTTATTTATATAATTGCCATTTCACGATGAACGAACAATAAAAAAAATTCTTGAAAGTTGATCTTTTTACCGATTTCACGAAACAAGGTGAATACATACCTTTTTCACGGCTGCACGTGAAATAAAAATGGCAAAACACGTTGCACGAAAATAACCCTTTACCACCCTCATTAACCAGGAAACCCTTGTTTTTTTTCCCTTTTTTGCCTCTAATTCCTAAACAGTTGGAGCCATAACCCCCAAAAGCCAATCCTAGCCATCCCTTTGTGGTATGGAAACTTGTGGTATAAAGAGATCCATACACTTAAACACAAGTTATTGTCTGGAAGTTCTGGGAATATTGCCCAGCTATGGAAAACCCTGGGTTTTCCTGCCCTGGTAATACTTTGCCAACCCTGTATTAAATTAACTTAAGATGAAAACTTAACATTGAAAATTGCTAATTAATTCAAAGTCATTTGACCATATCCTAGGGGGGGGGGGGGGGGGGGCAGGGCCTCAAAATAGTCAAACTGATATGTACTGATAGTAGTGCAACTTCGTTTTATATATCAATGATCTTTCACAAGTAGTTCCTATCAAACTAACTTAAGCAGAAACTTAACAATTGTTGACGCCGTATTCATCGTCGCCGGAAAAGCAATCTCTAGGTCTCACTGGGCGAGACAAAAATTATAAGA